AGATCTTCTACTCGCTATCGTATAGCATAACATATGATCAATATCCATTCTTGATAATGCTACGACTTCGGATATTTAATAATATTATTTATATGAATTAGTATTTGTCTCACATCTTTGATTAATCACCGATGTAAATGCATATCATATGGACTTCTATCTAATTTTATTCAATCAATAAATGTAAATGACAAGAATTAATGAAAAGATTTTTTATTATAAATTATGCAATGATATAATAACTCAAACTCATCCAAACATAGTTAGATCTTGGGCACCTACACCGACAATTTTGATGAATGTCCGCTCAATAAATCTATGGCCACAATAGGAGTACACCAATAAAGCATAGTTGGTTTACTCCAAGAGCTAAAATATTTGAAAATCGAAGAAAACTTATGTGATCATAATCGAACAAAACTAATAATCAAGTTCGAGATCACATTATGATAAGTTAATATGAGGAATGAATTGTATGGTAACTAAGCTCATAAAAGGTAATTATGGATTAATTAATCCTTCGAGAGAAATGGATAGTTATGATACCTTGCTAAAGGTTGGTCTTGATTGATGTATTAAGAGATAAAAGAAGCGTTTTTCATTCTTGATACATTGTCAACATATCTAGGAGCCTATTGAGTCACACGCATAAGTTTAAGCATTCGGATAATAAAATAGAAGCAAAGATGTTGGAAAAAGTTTTCAATTTTGAAAGTTTCCTATTTTGAAAAAGGTTTTTGAAAATGAAAAATTTCCTAAAATGAAAAGTTTTCTATTTTAGAAATCAGTTTCCTAATTTGAAAGTCGGTTCCAAATTTGTAAGTAAATAACCTAAAAAGAAATTAGTTTTCCGATTTTGGTTTAAGGGTAATTTGAGAATTGTTTCCTAATGTTGGCCTCCTAAAATTATCTAACCTAATTTATTTAGATAATCCAAATTAATTAATTGGATTAAAATATTTTGGGCCAATATGTTTAATTAAAAGCTTGAAGGATATTTTGATGGGAGGATAAACATGAACTTTATTAGATAAGGATGAATGTTTTAAGGGAGAAGATCAAAAAGCCACATGCATAGTAACTTATAATCCTTAAAGGATTAGAAAGTAATAACCAAGAGTCCTATTTAGGATTAGTTATCGCCCCTCCTTGTCTTTAGAGGACAAAGAAAACTATTTTCCTATCAATAGGAAGAGAGGTGCGAGCAACATGTAAGATTTAATTGAGAGAGAGAGAGAGACACGAAAAAGTAAAAAAATGTAAGGAACACAACATTGAGCAAAAATTAATGAGAAAATAGTTCTCTCTCAAAAACCTTAGCACACGCCATTTTTTCTTCTCTCTTAGGGTTGTCACAAAATTATCTTGATTAGATTTCGAAGGAAAAACACTAAATAAGTCAAAAAAAGGTGAAGCTAACACTCTATCAATTTTGAGTGCTTCTTTTGTAAATGTTTGGACTACATGGGTTATCAATACGAGTCGAATACTTGAACGACTCCTTTTTCTAAAAAGATTTAAATCTATCCTATAAGAGGTAATTCTTTATTTAACACTTTAATTCATGAATATATGATTAGTTAATTCAATGATATGATCTTGGGCCCTTTAGATGGAGAAAATTTTTTATTTTATTCCACACCTCCATATGATGCATGATCTTTCATTATCCGGGATAAATTTTAACCTCGATATACTTATCTAAGAATGATTTTACTTTTATGGTATGACTGATTAAATTTGATATTCATGTCATGTTTCTTTATGTGGTTTAACATCCAAATTGGGATGTATGGATATGAAAAATTGATCGGTGTTAACTCCGATAGTTAACTCCACATTTATGATCGATTAATTATGATACATGTGAGTGTAATGAATTTGTTAAGGTCAAGTGAACGCCACATTCTTTTTGAATTAAGCATGATTTTATGAATTATTCATGCGATGTGTTTGCCAAATATAGTATTCATGATATGCCATTTGCATGTTCTATTCAAATTGAATGTCTTATGTGTCGCATGTGATGAATTGACTAGGGTTAGCTTCAATTATTAATATCAATCTTATGCTTAGAGCTACAATCATTAGAGAATTGCCAAATCTTCGAGTTTATGGACTAGAGTCACTAGAGACTTGCCAAATCTTCATGTTTATGGGCTCTAGTCATTAAAGACTCACCAAATTTTGTGTTTAGGGTTACGATCGCTAGGGACTTGCCAAATCTTTATGATTATGGGCTATAATTGTGAGGGACTCACTAAATTTAGTGTTTATAGGTTGCAGTCATTAGAGACTTATCAAAATTTCATGTTTCTAGACTGCAATCATTAGGGACTCGCCAAGCTTTGTGGTTTAAAGCTATAGTCATTAAGGACTCGCCAAGTTTTGTGATTATAGGTTGTAGCCGTTTGGGACTCACCATTTGCGAAATATTCTCTTTCTTCTATTTTAGAGTGTGGAAGTAAGCTTTTGACCTACCTATCTCTCCCACTACTCACCGGATCTTTATGTTTAAGACAACATTCATGTGTAGTCACTATGGACTTGCTAAATTTAGTGTTTATAGATTACATTTGTTTAGAAATCGCCAAAATTTCTTATTTCTAGGCTACGGTAGTTAGGCACTCGCTAAGCTTTATGGTTTAGGGTTACATTCGTTAGGGACTCACCAAGTTTTATCGATCGTAGCCATTAGGGACTTATTATTTTTCAAACATTCTCTCGCCTTTTATTTTAGAGTATAGAAGCAAGATTTTGACTTACCTTTATGCCCAACTATTCACAAAGTTTTGTGTTTAGGAACGCAATCGTTAGGAACTCACCAAATCTTCATGTTTATGAGCTACAATCATTAGAACTCATCAAATTTAATGTTTATGGGATACGATCATTAAGGACTCTCTAAGATTTATGTTTTTAGGTTGTAGTTGTTAAGGACTCGCCAAGTTTTGTGAGTGCAGAGCTACGGCCATTAGGAGTTCACCGATTCTTGAATAGTTTCTTTCTTTTATTTTACGGTATGAAAACATGCCTTTGATCGGCCTATATCCTCAATTACTCTCCTAAACTTTGTATCTTTAGGGTTGTAGCCATTAAGAGCACACCATCGCTTGAATATTTTCTTCATTTATTTTAGAGTATAGAAATAGACTTTTGACCAATCTATCTTCCTAAATTACTCACCAAATCTTGCAATTACTAGCTACAACCATTAGGTGCTCGCCATTTCTCGAATACTTTCTTCCTTTATTTTGGAGGATGGAAATAGGTCTTTGACTAGCCTATACACCCAAACTACTTGATGATCCTCTACAAACTCGCTTAAATAGGTATGGACTTGTAATATATTAAAGAACGGACTTTTAGCTTAAAACACATGAAATACAACCTACCTTAAGTAGAACATGGTGGTTATGATATTGATCTTCCCCATCCATAACCAACTTCTTATCTAGATTTTTGCATAGACTAGTCATTTTTAGGTTTTTTAGTTTCTTTGATCCTAAGTGACGACTCCTCTTAATTCTCTATCCTTCCCAAGAGAACTCATGTCAAACGAAACCTAATCCAACATTACACCCACCTACGACAATGACAAAGAGTTTCTCATCTTCCATCAATATGACACCAATTTAGGCTTTTGGGTTTTAATTCAACTAGCTTTTACATTGATTTCATTGCTAATTTTATAATTAATTACCCTAAGGCTTTGGATTAATAATTAGGATTACTCCACTCCTTAGTTCTTCACTTCACAATAGATACTAGTGAATGAATCATGAATGTACTTGTAGATGTAATGTGATGCAACAATTTGCAAAAAATTAAAAGGATTAAATGCAATTCTTGTCCTTATACTATATAGTATTGTCTATTGTTAACCCATATATATATATATTACTTAAAGTTAGGATAAACCAATCCTAACATGATTGGTCGGATGTTGAATAAAATAATTGATTTGTTTCAATTTTTAGTATAAAACTTGTTTTATACCATACTTGGATAGAAAAGTTCAAATGAACAGTATTAGATATTATGAGACTATAGTATGCATTTCACCCAAATCTGAAAAGCCATATAGTAGACAAATTACTAGGATGTGATAATGGGGTAGCCTATTAGCTTTGCAGTGACATGATAATACATAGGGCACGAGATAGCTCATATAAACCATCGTTTTTCCATCTTCTTTCTAACAACAAATATATATATATATATATATATATATATAAGCACACACATGTATAAAAAAAATTATAGTATTTTCAGAGTAATTATCAATACTTACTCTATAAAAGAGATAGATAAAAAAAATGAAAAATAGTAGAGAGAATTTAAAGAATATATAAATTTTTAGCGAGGATAAAATTATTTTTCATCACCGTAGCTATTTCTATTCTCAAAATGAACCCATAAAAATAATTATTGGTAGTTACTATGCTAATATTCTAATTTTTTTCTCTACTGAGTACAGATCATGAATCCTGAATCCTTAACTTTGAATCCAAATTTCTAGTAATGGTCATGTACTCATGCTTAGGTTGTACATAAACCATCCTCAATAATAGTCATGCTTGGGCTGTCTGACTACTAAATTTCATGAACTTTAGTGTAAAAATCCACGAGACATACGTGACCAGCAGCGCCATCTAACACAGCTCAAATAATGAAAGCAAATGACAGAGGCTTGTGAGGCCTATATTTTTTAGCAGTTGAATTAATTACATCATCACTTTCTTCCATTTCCCGGACCAAGCCTTAAGGCTATCTTTTGTACAATTTGAATCTCCTCTCTTCGGATTGTCCATTGAAATAAATTTAATAGATGGCCTTAAGCTTTATTATAATTATTAGTAGTAGTATTATTAGTATTATAAGAATAATATTTGTAAATGGTTCATATGTTTGTTTGGTAATGGGCGATTAAAACTATGATTCTTTATCGTGTAACCTACGTTTAGTGTTGACAGTGATGAATTAATCTAGCAACTTCCATGCAAAAGCTTCCATACGAAGAAGGTATGACTGGTAGCTCAAAGCATATATCCACTCCACCTTACTCTTGTATTTGTGACATGACCTTGACCTTTGCTCTGAACTATGGACATTGAAAACCGCAAGTCAAAAACTAGAAGAATTCGTAAGTGCTTTAAGAGAGAACAAAAGAGCCGATGCATATCATTGGATTGAAGTTTCAGGTTATCTTCGCAGCTCTTGTATCCACCCCGCTGGTTCCCTTTGTTGTCACTTTCTTCTCGAATAATGTCTTCTTTCAAAACTGTATTTAATTGGTTGCAGATGAGAGCGACTATGATGTCTTGGCTAGATCATTAGAGATAGATACATGCATTTTAACCAATGAATTGAGGTAATTAATATTTTTATAAACGTTGCTCTGGCTTAAGATGCCTGAAAAACACCTGAAAATGCCTGCTTTGGCTTCCATATCACAAGCGTGCATGTTATGCATGTCAAAATCTTTGTGGGTACATGGAATGTTGCTGGAAGGTCTCCTGCAGGAAGCTTAGCCGTAGATGTTGACGAATGGCTAAATCTCAAGGATGCGGCTGATATATACGTTCAAGGGTAGGCAATATTTGAAGGTTAACAACTTGTAATTTCCATGATTTCAATGCATCCCATCTGGCAATGAAGCTTCTCTTTTTAAATGCAGCTTTCAAGAGAATGTGCCTTTGAAAACCAAAAACGCAATAGAAGTAGAGGACCCAATTGAACCAACAAAATGGAACTTGCTCATAGGAAAAACTCTAAACGATAGGTATGGGTGCCCTTGGTTGACCCACATGTTGAATCCAATCTCAAGTGAAAACTATCACTTTGTGAGGATCCCCAGTTTAGGAAGGAGGGCAAGTTTTCGTGGTCAATCTGGATTTACAAGGACAGAGCCATCAAATACACAACATGAAAGGGGGGCATATGGGGACAGTAAGTACATGCTAATGACAAGCAAGAAGATGGTTGGGGTGTTTATAAGTGTGGATGAAGAAGGAATTGCTCATAAAGTACTTCATTTCAAATGTCAAAGTTTCTTCCGTCGCTTGTGGCATCATGGGTTAATTGGGGAATAAAGGTTCAGTTTCAGTTAGCATGTCTATTGAAGGAAACAGTTTTTGCTTCATTGCTGCTCACTTAGCTTCTGGCGAGAAGAACGGTTATGAGGGCAGGAGGAATCACCAAGTCTCCGAGATTTTCAGACGAACTTCTTTCCCCTGGTCTTCTGAAGATAATAATCCTCATCCTCTCACCATCTTAGGACACAAGTACAAATAATAATAATAATTGATTAGCAACCTAATTCTTCAATGGTAATCAAGAATTAGGCCATAAGAGAAAAACTTTCATATAAGGATCTCACACCGAGCAAGATTCAAATTATCAATAAGATCCCACCAGGTCCAATAATCTCACACAATCAAATTTCTGAATCATTTACTCCACCATTTTATAATTTCAAGGTTCTGGTTTTAATTCTACAAAATTCTAGCTTTTGGTTCTTTTCAAATTCCAAAGTCGAGACTAATATCAAAATTTCCACCAAAAAAAAAAATAGATAAATAATAAAATCTATTATAAAAATCTATAGGATGTTAAAGTTGCCAGAGTAAATGCAGTAAGAGAATGGCCAGAGGAATCTAAACGTCAATTATTTTGAATAAGTTGAGCAGTATAAGGCAAGGTCCATCTTTAATAAATTAAAACAAAATGTCATATTAAGCAGTCGGATATTCTGGTTCGGGGATCTCAACTATAGGCTGCATCTGGAAGACATTTTGGCCAGGGATTTCATAAAGAAGCAAGACTGGAAAGTACTGCAAAAGTTTGATCAGCTCTGAAAGGAACTAGATGATGGAGTATTCGAAGGTTGGCGAGAGGGTAACATAGAATTTGCACCAATATACAAATACTCTTCATCAAATTGCAATCAGTACTCAGGTGGCCTGCCAGGCAGATCAGGAGAAAAGCAAAGAACTCCAGCATGGTATGGTCAGAGAACAACAGTTCTGTTAAATTGTTATTTACCATAATCAGCCACCACAAGCCCAGTATAAGTCCTCCTCTGCCCTGGCCTAGTTGGAACTAAGATAGTCCCTTACTCTATACATCATACAAAATACAAATTACCTTCAGCTAGAATAATGCCTGAATCTGGTGACAGGAGCGACAGAATTCTGTCGAAAGGAAAAGGAATGAGGCAACTTTCCTATTTTCGAAGTGAAAGCAAGTTCTCTGACCATCAGCCAGTATCTGCTGTCTTTTCTATACCAATAGAAGTCATGAAGGTTACCAATCCAAGAAAGATTTTTCCCACAAGCACCTTTCTGTCTATCTCTTCCAGGGAAATGGTAAAGTTCTGACGCTGATGTTTAAGCAAGTATTCTGAAGCGTTATAACTGTATTTACAAAATTTATATCTGAAAATGAATCCAGTACATTTTCTGAGGTCTTAAACTGATAGCAATGATACTAATACCAGCATAATTTTCATTTCAGGAGCCAAGCAATATTAATAAAGGGGTCAAATGTACCTTGCTATTGCTGGTTGTCAAGGAATCAGCGAGGAATATAAGAGCACTGCCCAAAAAATATGCAAATATAACAGCAAAAACAGAGAAAGTGCAATTTTTGACAATGCAGCTGGCCTTTGGACTTGTTATGTTGCCACAGGCTGGCTTTCTAGAGATGCACCATTTTCTAGTAAACTTTTTTACTATTATTTTATACAAAAAAAAAAAAAAAAGAATTTTCAATTATAAGAGTTTCAAAGTGCAATTTTAAGTTAAATTGTTGGAAAGTAAAAGATGATTAAATGAAAGTGATAGCATGTGTTAATAACTACATGATTTGTTTCCTTCAGTCAAGTGTAATAAGGGACAACCAGCAACAAAGAAATAGTATTTAATAGTTTGGCCATTTTGACTCACAAATTGAAATACTGTAGGATACATATTGGAAAGGTCTACCATGATCATTTAAATTCCAAAAACAGTCAGAAACTTTTCCACTTCGTATGCCATCAGACGTCTTCGATGGAACATACAGCAATAGCTTCCCAGTCTAACTGTGGCCAAGAAAAGTTCAACATAGCAACACATGCTAATAACTGCATTTTCCAAATTTATAAACATATTTCATCTATCATAATAGTTAACACTAAGAATGCAGCAATAACAAGTAGAGTACTTACAATCAATTTGCCTCATTTGACTGAAGAACACCACCCAGGGCCTCAACATTATCTGCACGACAAATGGGACATATGCATCTATTCTGCAACTGTTCCCCAAAGGAAGTACAACTCTGTTCCAACTCAGAAGTCTGCTTGTTTCCAGTCAAAGATATTTAAAGTTTGTCCATATGCATCATATGTTTTACTAGAACTGTGCTTGGAAAGCATCAAGGTCCATTCTTACTTTTGTATACAAAAAAGTTTCAGGTGTTTTTTTTTTCCATCTTTTGACTGGGACAAATGTCAAAAAATGAAGGATCTTTTTCATGGCTGAGATGGTAGAAAGCATGAAATTGACTGACCCTTTTAACATCAGTTACTTATTATGTGCCTCAAACTTATAAAAACATATTAGAAAAACTGCTCATAAGTAGCTTATAGAAATATCTTTAAGAGTTATTTTTGTAAATGGCAGTTTTTGGAAGGATAAAATTCCAGATGTCAGTTGCTCTTATGGGCTGCTCAAATGCTGCATTACTCTCAATGTCATTTTCCATCAATTGAATCGTGTGAAATGCCTGGACACTTATCTCTCTCCTTCTGTAAAAAGTAGGTTAATCATGACCAGACAGCCAGTTCCACACAATGTAATGTTTTTAAGGATATCTTGTTAAATCCTGCAATGCTTTTGTTTCTTTCACTATCACCTCCACTATAGAAACCTTACTTTGAAGATCAACATACTCCTCCTGGACCTGCAAAGAAACAAGCAACTCAAATTGTTCTCAAGGGAACCTTTCACAAACTTTTAGGTAGACAAAGAAATGTTGAGGAGGCACTCTTCCATTTTTCCGTAAACAACATAAAACATCTATAAAACTCTTGAACCAACTTCTTACCTGCTTTTGAATATTCTCCTCTGCTAGGTATTCTTGTTCCTCTTTAGTTGTTTGAGAAGCTACATGAGCAAGCACATCCTCTATAGCACTTAAATCAATGTCAGTGACTACCTTCTCTACAGCTTTGCAGTCTGCTTCTGAAATAAAGACAGCAATTTCTCAGCATAAAAGATGAAAGCAGCAAGTAACAATCTATATCCCATTAAAGAATGCATTTGAAAATGAAGGGGGAAGGGAAAAGGAAATAGCATTTGAAGAAGAGTGGGATGCCAGTTCTCAATGCATACAAATGCCTTGAAGTTGTTCGAGTACCTATCTGACCATTTTTTTTTCTTGGATACAGCAGTTGTCTATATAATCGGTATTCTAAGAAAAACAAATATGCATCCTCAATGCTTTGAGCGAACAATTTTCAATTAATACCAATAAGCCATTCTAGAATGAACATAATATGTAAATAAATTGGCAAGGAGAAAAAATTGAAAACCAAAACAAACATTCCTATAACACTCAAATACACAGTGCAGTTCAGCAAGCCTGCCTCCATGTGCAAAGATGCTTAGAAATTTTACTGTGTGGAAAAAGATATTATTGAAGTCCACTCAATTTACTCTTGATACCCTATATCCAGCACACTCACATCAATCTGTCTTGACATTTTCATAGAAGGATAAATGTCTCTTCCCTTCTTTCTCCCTCGAACTGTCACACATCAGTGAAAAGTTAAAGCCTAACAAAGAGAGAGGCCGTCCAAAGAAAAGGCCAACAACAGTACTTCCATTCTAAAATACAAAATGCCAGCTTTAAATTCTGTCCTTGTAAGGTTGCTAAACAGCTATTATCTCAAACAATTAGAAGTTCTCAGTTAAGCAAAGGCAGAGCACGTGTTCTTTCATCCGCATTAAGAAACAGAATGAATTTTGCAGCAGCTGATATATCCGTTTACATTTTTTCTAATATCCATATATTGTTAACCTGGACTGCAATTTACAGTCACATCCTGATCTCGAAATGGGACCTTTATTCTGAAGAAACTTATATAGATGATTCCATTTACAAATCAGAAGACAAGACATGGAACACACTATAAGCTGAATATATAAACAAATCAAATGACTTTGCTGTGGAAGATGAGCAAACTCCAACAGTCCCATGCCACATAGAATGCAAAAGTTAATCCCTGTTATAGCAAGTCACTATAAACCAACTTCAACAAACTCATATTTCTAGTTTTGCAACAAGATGAAAAAATGAGAAGTAATGGACTAAAACTTTAGTTTAGTCACTGAATTTTAGTTTGTGTTTTGATTCTTTACTTTACGACTAGTTAATTGAGTTAGAGATTTAGGGTTTTCAACTCTTCATATTTTTTATTGTTATGAGATTTCTATCGAGTTCTGCTTCCCTTTTTTTTTTTTTTATTGCTTAATTACTATTCAAATTCTGTTCAATTATATGAATGATCAACAGCTATCCTACTGGAAACACAATCCAAAATAGTGGTCCAACTAAACCTACCCTTCATAACACATAGAAAAGCATCATAACAAATACTGCACCTATACGAGATTCGAAACCAACCAGTGTTCCACACATCATCAACTCAAAGGTTGAATTTTAGCTCATGGTCTCACCAGATAAATGGATTCATTCATGAAAAAATTACTCATCCAAGCTTCTCAAAATCAAATGAAATCGGTCAGGGTGCAGCTACCTTGATCTATTTAAAATTTTAAGATTTGAAATTGGGAAGGTTTTTTATTTTTTATTTTTTTTCAAGAAAAACAAAACACGCTTAATTATGCTCAGATGCTATCACAAAGATTATTAAAAAAAAAAAAGTTCCATGAGTTAATATCAACGTCAAAAAAAAAAAAAAAAAAAAAAAAAAAAAAAAGGAAACACCAACATATGGAAATAGGTTTAGCTGATAGAGCTGTAAAATGGTCCATACGGATGGCATCACCTGCGGTAGTTCCAATGCTTCTCTTTTTCTGAGATTCAAGTCCTTCCTCTTGGAATTTCCTATATTAAAATATAAGCAGACAAATTAGTAGTTTTCCTCTATTGACAGAATGGCATTCAAATATAAAGTAACATTCATATTATTTCTTTTCTCTTTTGAGAAAATAGTTCTTTTTCTAAAATTAAATTTGGAAGAATAATTCTACTATCCACTTTGCCTCCTAAAGATATTCATATATTTGCATTCACATTTTCTCACATAGTGCACTGGCATCAGACCATGAAATGGGCAAGCTCTAGATTTTCTTTTTCCTTCTTTTCTTCTTTTCTTCTTTTTTGTTTAATAAAATGATTGTGGGATATAGTTCAAAAAAGAAGTTTTTTCAGAAGATTGTTTGGAATTGAACAACCTTCTCAAGCATCAAGGCCAAGCCAGAAGAATCATGCATCCAAGGTGAAACAGTTAATTACAGAGTGATTGGTTTAAACACAAACCGTACTGAAAAAATTGTGTGGGTAATTCAGATAGAATGTGGTTTAAGTCATAAAAATCCATGGTGTAGGCATGATAGGGGGATTTATGTGTGTATATGATGCCAGTCTTTGATATTCCTATGCAGACCAAACAACAAGAGCTTAAGCACATCTTTGATGAAGAAAAAATTGCCGTCATTACTTAAGATTCAAAAGAGTTGAATGCAAAATTATAGGTAGTGATGACTATCAAAACTTACACAAACCACTATAAATTTCTGCAGAAATACAGAGAAGAACCAGCTCACAATGGCCAGGCACTTTATATCCATAGAATGGTCACATGGTTCATAATAAGAGGTGAAATTGTGCCAAGTTGTCAGGCACAATGACAGCTGGGCAAAGTGGTTTCAAAAGAAATTCAGCCCGCATTACATATTGTTTATCAACCACTTGTACTTCCCAAACTTACAAGCTGGGAAGAAGGTTCAGCAACTCGAACCATGACCTATTGCTTAAAGTAAGAGGTCACTGCCAATCCCCAAGGGGGATTGGCTGTACAAAATAAGCTTTTTGTATGTGTGGTGTTGTATCCATTTTGACAGTATGATTCAGTTTAACAAGAAACATTAAGATCCTAAGAAAGGTATAAAACAGCGTTAGCCAGTAGGAATATTAGGAAGGAAAAAGGAAAAGAAAATCAATCACTACACAAATATCAGCCTGATAGACAGTGACTGTAATAATAGATAATTATGAATTAATCTTTAGTTCTCCCATGGGCTTTAATAGGAGACAAATACAATGGACTCTAAATTAAGATGATAATTTTTCTGATACAATGATCAAGTTTAATGGTTCATGTATCCTTCACTGCTCAAGATACCCCATATCACCCCTAGCCACCACGGTAGTAATCAGAACAGATACTGGATGGGCTTTTAGTTCAATATTAATACTTTTTTCCCTTCCATTACAGTGTTAAGTTATCATGCACCCCTGTACCGTATTGATGTGGTCAGATCAGTCCCTCTACATGAAAAAGGGAATAATTGACCCCTCCAACACCATTTATAGCATTTTTAATGTAGAGGGGTTGATCTAACCAAATTAATGCGTTTTCAACCCCTTCGTTTTTTACAATTCAGTAACTACATCAAATAAATTAACACATATCCTATTCATTCACACAGGAATTCATTTTCCAAGAGGAAACATCACCAAAAATCACGAAGTTAACCAAAGAATGCAACTGCATACCCAGAAGCTACATATGTTGTTGCTACCTGTTAGCACAAACACAAATTCCCAGTCAAATTTACAGATGTTTGTGTAAGTGAGACTAACCTTATCTTAGTATTAAGTTCAAACATCTGGCGATTAAACTCATCTCTACATAAACAACAAAAACATGTTAATGAAACGGCAGCAATTAATATAACTACTTAAATCAATTTCAGCAAAGCATTCTATCACATGCTCAAATGTAACAGAATGGCAAGAAAACAAAAATAAATTGCAATCTTTACCGTGAAGCTCCTTCTTCATTCTTCATACCACACAAGCCCAATGTTCCATACGATGAGGTTCAGAACAAGAATTAGAAACAGAAAAAAGACTGAAAACCCAAGCATCTCACTTTATACAAAAGGAAAGCAACACCCAATCATCACTACCTTAAAACCCTCTACTTCAGATCCAACCGAGGATATTTCTTTTTGAATCATAGAAATTCTTGCCTGGAAGTATTTGAGACGTTCTTAATTTGAAAACAAAAAAATATATATATATATATATATATATTCAAATTGAAGTAAAGCAAATAAATGAACAAACCTCAAGGGTTTTAATAAAAGCGTTGTTAAAAGCCAATTGAAGTTCGTAGCCTTTAAGCTCTTGCTCAGTAGTTTCTTTGAAACGCCTCACCACTTCCATCTCTTCATTTGCCGCATCTACTTCACATCCAAGCTCTTCTATTCGCTTCTTTAGCCTAACCACTTTTCTCTCTAAATAATTTACAGCATCAGAGAAAAATTACTAAAAAAAGAACATGATAAACCCAATAAACATATAATATTTGCCTCTCAATTAATAGATTTTCCACTATTTTCCCGCAATTTCTCAGGAAACGCGATGTGTTTGGTTACCGAGAATGTAGGAAATCAAAATTTGAATCTCTGGTTGCGTAGACCAATCAATTAACAGTGCCCAAGGCGAGCTTTTGTTCATTATTATTATTATTATTTATTTTTGTGATAAGAGAGATGCGAGGAGATTCTGTGCAATTTAATTTTTGTTCCCTTCATTTTCTCGGGAACCAAACGGAGAAAAATTCAAGTGTAAAGGCACTCACCTCCTTGCGATTTCTCGGAAGCAAAGTCGCGAATTAGGGTCAGGAGTTGCCTTTGTGGATTGGTTGCCGCCATGGTCTGTTTCGCGCTTCTCTTTCTTCTACGAATATTATTGGTGGGATGACCTTTTTACTCACTTGTTGAATGAAAAAGAAAGATTTCAGGACTAAATTCAAATATTCAATTCCATTTTTGGGCTTTGTATAAATGGGCCTTCACTGGCTAATTAACTTGCTCATCCAAACAGACGTCGTTTCGACAAAACCAACCAAACGGGCGTCGTTTCAATAAAACCAATCCCTCAAGAAATTTGGAATTGCAGGGAATTCCCTTTCTAGGTTCATTAAACTTCCTAAAAAAAAAACTCCCCCTCTTTCTTAGAGCAAAGCATGGAGAAAGATTGATGGTCAAGTTTCTCTTTTAGGTATTGTTTAATAATTAGAAATGAAGCACCTAAAATGAGAAATTCATATTTAATTTTTTAATATTAGAGTGCTTGGTAATCTAGAATGATACTAGTTAGATATCCATACTACGCTACGAGTCAAACAACCGTTACATACGGAAAGTTAACAATTCGTATGATGTAGTGTGAATGAAAGTTTTATTTTTAACAATTAATGTAAATCGAATATATATAATGAGCGAAGTCATTTGATTTATATATATTTATTAACAAGATATTTAATAATATTAGCATAAAATTTTGTATTTGAATAATTAGAAAGTTATTTCAAAACATTATCTAATTTATTTTATTTTAAAAAAATTAGAATATAAAAAATAATCGGTACTAAGTATGCGGATATATAGTTAATTTTTAATAAAACTACAAACACACACACACACATATATATATATATATAGAATAAATAGAAAAATATACAAAAAAACTCACCTAAATTATATGAAATATATTGAAGTCAATAGATTAAAATAAAAACTACAACAAAATTAGTTCGATAAATTCTGAATAAATATATATATAAAAAAAAAGCATAGTATATAGAATAAATAGAAAAATATACGAAACAAATTAACCTAAATTGTATGAAATATATTGAAGTAAATTGATTGAAATAAAAACTACAATAAAATTGATTCTGCTAAATTCTGAATAAATAAATATAAAAAAATAAATAAAACTTGTGATTTTTTAATTAATTATTAATTTAAAAAAATTGAGCTAAACTATTTAAAACATATTTTTAGCTCTCTCCCTCCCCCTCTCTCTCTCTCTCTCTCTCTCTCTCTCTCTCTCTCTCTCTATATATATATATATATATATATATATATATATATTCAGAATTTGTAAATTATAATAACATATTTTAAAAAATAAAACACTCATTTAAAAAGTATAAAAATAATTTATTGTATAAATTATAATAATATAGTTTTAAAAAAAATAAAATACTGACATTTTAAATTTTTATTCCAAAATTCATATATCAAAAAATCAAATTTATAATAAATAAAATTATTTCAAAAAATTAATTTGATGAGAATTTTAATAAGAAACAAACAATTGAAGAAATAAATTTTAAATAATAAGAGTAACATAATCAGATATATATGTTCAAACTAAAATCTTCAAAAATATCATATATATTATATCATGTTCAAACAATAGATATAACTAAAAAAAATAAAAATTTATTTTTTATATTCTTCACACCTAATTTCATGATAATATACACACACACACACACACACACACACAAAAAAACAATATATATATATATATATATATATTTAAATTTAAAAAAATGAAATTATATTATTTACCACAAATAAAATTAATATAATTAACTACTAAATCACTTAATTAACATATAAATATTTAAACTAAGACCTATTAAATTTTGAAAACAATTAAAGTATTTAATTACCAATAAACAAACTTAATATAATTAACAACTTTAACAATACTAATTAACACATTATTAAACAAACTAACACGTAATTAAATTTTTAAACAAATAATTAATTTAATTAACAACAAACAAATTAACTATACAAACAAACTAAATTATGCTACCTAACAATTAAAAAATAATTAATTAAACTACAAATATACATAGTTTAATCAGCAATAAACATATTAACTATTAAAAAAAACTAAATTCATTAAACTAACTAAAAATTAACAAATAATTAATTAAACAAGCATAATTAAGTAAACTAACACTTAAATAATTTTTTAACACAAAATTATTTTAATTAACAATTAACAAATTAACTATAAAAACAAACTAAATTAAAATAACTAACAATTAACAAATAGTTAATTAAACAAAAAATATAAAATTAATGAAAAAAATGGGAAAAATACTTAATTAGTTACTAATTAGACAAATGGAGGAGTAAAGAAGGAGGTAGGAGCTGCTGCTAACTCACGAGTGAAGAAGAGAGAAGTCGTTATTATTGCTGCTGCACTCGTGATTGGAGATGAGGAGGGAAGGGAGGAGGCGGAGGGAAAGAGAGAAAAAAGAAGAAAAGGGAAGAGGAAAGGGGAAGAAGAAAAAAAGAGAAAGAAGGAGATTTAGAGGGAATTACAGTACGAGATTGAAGGAGAAATGGGGAAGAAAATGTTAGAGGTGCAACTGCTAGAAGAATAAGAAGAAGAGAAGGAAAGAAGAATTTAGGGGAAAATTTTTCAAGCTAGTAACTTTTAAGGATTAAGTACCATTGCTAATAAACTTACAAAAATTCAAATATGATTGTTTTTCCTTCAACGATTAGAAATTAAACGACAGCTTTAATAAACCATCGGTAATGTCATTATTTAATGACTATTTTCATCACAAAAACACTTGTAAAATCCTTGTCCTCCACTAGTTTGGCAACCAATTAGATTTAGTGACGGTTTTTAGTCATCGTCGCTAAATTTCCTCACAATAAATAATCGTTGCTAAAAACCAATTTTTATTTTTTTATTTTTTGTAATTGGCAATGGTTTAAGTAAACACTCGCCAATTCCGAAGTCATTGCATTATTTAGTGATGTTTGCAATAGGTTTGTAAAAGGTCGCCAAACACACATTATTAAAAAGGTATTAGCGATGGTACCATTGCTATTAAATGGTTTTAGTGATGGTTTTTCAATTCATGACTAAAAAAATATCATCAAAACCAATTTTTCTAGTAGTGAACCAACTTTTTTTTGGGGTTTTATGAGGAGTTTAGAGGATAAAAATCAAGTCGGTTGGCAAAACCTTGGAGATAAAGGGAAAGCATTTTTCACTTTGGAGGGAAAATTCTTGCCACATGAAAGTGAGTGAGTGGTGGGGAAATGTAAAAAAAAAATGCAGAAAAAAAAATTGGTGCCATGTGCCATTTTTTTTTAAGATATCATGTAATTTCACGCGTAGTCCATGTTGAAAAAGTGAAAAAACAAAAGAGTCTATTATTTACTAAAAAATAATACATGATAGTTAAATAATTTTTTAAAAAAATCATAGGTATATAGAGTTTGATCAATAATTCATACTATGTTTACTTAATCTAAAAAAAATGTTATTTTATCAAACCCATTAGAAGGGGCTTAATACAACATTACAACCATGTCTTAAACACTAATCCACTCGGTCTACAAACTTCTTTAACTCTCTAATAAAACAAAACGATGTTGTCAATCGAAAGGAAAGGTTAACACCTACTAGTCAAGATCTACTATTTCCTCTCGTTTATTTTCTTACTCTTATTTGAAATTTGAATAGTATTTTAGATCAAATCTACCGACTTTTGAATCATCATCATCTTCCTTTACTTGAAATTTGCACTTAGGGTTTCAAGGATTATTTTAATGTCTAGGTTGTGGCTATTTTGGGAGGGGCTGCTATTGGAATTAGCGGATCTACGGTAATGATTTAAGAGGATCGAGCTATTGCTAACGGGTTTAATGGTTGTCCGAGAGGAGTGGCGACTGCTTGTCATGGCTAAATAATGATTGGAAAGATTGGCTAGAGTTGTTATTGTTGAAGGGAAAAAGAGGTTAGCTAGAAGAACTGGCTAAAGTTGTTGAAAGTGGGAACATTGGTAGTGATAGATTGTGGGGCTCGCAATAGTAAGGGAAGGCTCGTTCGAATGACTTGGGATGGCAAAAGAAGGGTTACATTAGTGGTAGCAATGGTAGTAGGTGGAGATGGGCTCGGTCGGAGTTTTTTATGTGGATTTTTTTAAGGGTTTTGGTCGGTAGTTAAGGATAGGTTTTAGAGATTGTATTTTGGATGATGTGTGGAGTTATTAGTGGTAATGGTTATAGAGGTTTTGTAGTTTTAAGAGAGAATGGTTGCTTATAGGTTTCTTTATAAGAAAGATAAAAAAAGGAAGATATTTTTATAGGAGAGAGCGAGAGAGAAAGAGAGGAAGATAAGGGAGAGAGAGGAAGGAAGAGAGAGATATAAAGAGATAAAGAGATATGGAGGGAGAGAGAGAGGGAAAAAGAAAAAAGAAAGATGAAAGAGAGAAAGAGGAAGGGAGCTAGAGCAAGGGATAGGGAGAAAAGGGGGATCTAGGGAGAGAAAGAGGAAGAGAGAGAAGGAGATGGAGAGAGAACGAGAAGAAGGAAGGAGTTAAAGAGAGGGATTAAGAGAGAGAGAGAGGAGGGAGAGGGAGAGGGAGAGAAAAAAGAAGAGAGGGGAGAGAAAGAGTGAGAGGAAGTAAGAGAGAGATAGAGAGGGAGATGGAGAAAGAGTGAGAGAGAGAAAGGGAGAAAGGGAGAAAAGGAAAGAGAGAGAGGCTGCGAGAGGAAGATGGAGAGAGATAGAGATGGAGAGGAAGAAGGAGAAAGAGAGGCGAGAGATAACAAGAGGGAAAGGGAGAGAGAGAGAGAGAGAGAGAGAGAGAGAGAGATTAAGGAAGAGGGAATGAGGGAGGGAGAGAGAGAGAGAGAGAGAGGTCCTATCTTAGAAATTCAATTACTTTCCTATATAGCTCAAAGAAAAGACTTATCCCAATAGCTTTGTTAGAAAAGCTTATCCCAATGGTTTGGTTGAACTGAAGATGAAGATATTTTTTCGAATACTTGATGTGTTTATAATTAAGATTTTTAGCAAGTTAAACCGGAAAAAA